TTCTTTCTCTATATATATATATATATATATATATATATATATATATATATATATATATATATATACACAGTATATGTATATTTACTTTCAGAAAAAAAGGCACAAACCTGTCACTGGGGTGATACCATATATGGACACTTTAGGTACCAATATGTACCATTTAGAGGTAAATAAGTTGCAATGATGTACATTTGAGCTTTTGTACCACCACAGTGACAGGTTTGTATTTTTTGGTTATGATTTAAATCACATACTTTTAGCATAACCTCGGAGATCACTGGAAGCAGTCGTGTTTCGTGGTCTGTGTCTTCCATCTGTGCCTGTTAGGGTTAATACGCATAAATGTCACACATTGAATTTTTAATAAATAACATGATATTTATAAAATTGTTGATTTTTCATGTATACAGAATATACACTGCGGCTGAAGCATTGCAACATACAAGATTAGTCATCATATAGAGGTCGTTCCAGGTGATGGAGCTGTCTAGAGGTTTGGGGCGCGTGAGGTGCATCGCCTGGCAGCGCAGAAGGAAGCAGCAGCACATCACAGCAAGCAGAGTTAGGAAGTTCATGTTGCAGGCAGACGTGTGGATTTAGTGATGTTTCCTCTTATGTAGACTGTTGTTCCTCGCAGACGAGATTTGGAGTTCATGTTGTGACTCTAGAGCTTTTATAGTGTCCTGCTTTGTCCCCGTTATTACCACTACGTCACTGTGGTATCGTCTCTTTACCTTTGGCGTGATCCTCCAACCTCTGCACCTGAGTTTATCAGGTCAAGCGGATCTCTGAGTAACCGTGCATGCTTCATATTCGCTGACTGTTGTGATTGCATCGGAAATTCGCACCGCGTATTGTCTGACAGAAATAAACAAGCTGCCAATAATTACTGCAATAAGGACAAAGGACTGGTGAAGTGGACAGAGTAGCTACTTCCTGTGAATTTCCCGCACTGGCGAATATTGGTAATTAGTGCGCGACTAAAATAACGCCTTTATTATGTGGTTCTTACCATTTAACGCTGCTAGGAGACCTAGGAGATTTTTCCTCATCAGCATGAAACTCATAAGTTTGAAAGCTGCAGCCGACAGGAAAAATATTACATCATAAGCCATATAGTGTTGTTAAAAATTCTGTGTCAGGATATGTTTGGGGAAGCTGTCGAGCGCAATAAGGAAGGATCGCCAGACGCTTTTGATCGTGTTCACACGTCAAACTAGATAGCCATAAAAGGCCATAAAATATAGGCCTAATGCAAAGCCATATTGTTTATAATCTCTCACTCTATACACAACTGTAAAGGCCTACACATTTTCTAATAGGCTACTACTGTCTAACATTAATTCTGTACATTTAATAAAAAAAACAATTGGGGCTATAGTGTGGTAAACTTGCAGGGAGTCATATGTTGATTCAGTAGATTCGCTGGATTTGTTGAGTTTATTCAGTAAACCATTAGACTGATTCAAGCAGTTAAAACGTTTCGGAAAGATTCGTTTCAAGAGTCATTTATTCGTGAATCGGGACTAAAGAGGTCACGCTGTATATTTTTAATGTGTATGTAAAATGCGGTGTAGGAGCTACTTTTTTTATATATTAATGCTTGAGCTACAAATACAAAACCAAAGTGCCAAGGGTATACACATAAAAAGTACATATTAACTATACATGTATATATAAAACCAACAAATCAAATCAAATAATGAAAAAATGAAAGGCCTTGTTAAATCACAATAACTTAAATATACCAAATACATACACAGTTTTTACAGCTTTTTTGTTTGTACTCTCCTTAATAGTGCTTCTATAGATATCTAATTCCTTAAGTACCGGTGTAGGAACTACTGTTTGTTATAAGACATTTAGTAGCCTACGTCATGTAAGAAATATGTAAATGCAAGTTATTGCCTGATTTAAGGTTTTTTCCCATGTTCTGACATTGCATGAACGCACCATTTTCTCACTTTGTGCGATCGCTGATGTGGTAGATGAGCCTGAATGTAACACTATTGTGGCTGTATTGTGTTCAATTGCTCACCCTAGAGCTATTAACTATACATCTTTATCAGATATCATTTTGTATCAAAGAGGAAAAAGTACACATCTTTGTATCGATCATTGTACAAAAATGTATTTTTATTACTTTTTTGCAGACTGAGTTATAGTGTTTAATTAGCTAAATCATTTATACTGAACGCACAATATTGGTCTAGTCATATTAAAATGTAAGTAAATAAAATAAAAACACCAAACTATCCAAAAACACACACACAAAAACAAATCAGTGAAAGATTAAAACAATTGTAGAAGGAAATTTACATGTTTACATCCTGAGAAGTTAATGGCCATTTTTCAGTCTATGCACAACCGATTAATGGGCTTTGACACATTAGCTCTTTCCCCAGAATTCCTCCTTCCTTCTTTGAGCCCAACCCAAGAGTTCAGAGGCCATGGAGCATGAGGCTGCTGATCTAGATGAGATCTGAGACATCTTATCATCTGGATTTAATATGAAAGAGATATTAAAATGTAAAATATATATATATATATTTCACATAATTACAGTTCTAAATATATATATTTTTTATACTTTTTTTTTTTTACAAAATATTTTATAAGATATTTTAAGATACTGCTGTTCCATAAATGAGAAATAAAGGGCAGCATATACTGTATGCACAAACAGTACAGACAATCAGTGAAACCAGTGATTTGAAAAGCATTAGCTGTTCTTGATATGTGCACCACATCAAAGGACACGTTGGTCTAATTCCTGTTCCTACTAAAACTGCTAGACAGACATAAAAGCATGAAGTAACTGTAAGTAACTGCTTATGGCTGCTAATATCTGCTAATATTAAGAAGGAGATTTTACCATCTGACACACAGGAAGATTCAGCTTCAGGAAACACAAAGAGCTCTGACCGAAAAATTCCCAGGTTACCTACAGTTGACACAAAGAGGATAATGTGACTGTGTATGAGTGAAATACATAAATGAACGTAACACCATAGGCTGTGAAACTTAATCACATAATCTCCACTTTATATAGTGTACATGTTTTGTCACATAATTAGTGGTGTCAAATCGTTTAATCGCGATTAATAGTTTGTGTTTACATGCTAAGTGTGTGTACTGTGTATATTTATATAAATACATATACATACATGTATATATTACAGACATATTTCCATGTGTGTGTGTGTGTGTGTATATATATATATATAAATATGTATTCATATTAATTTGATTTATATTATATATATATTACATATATTTCTTAAATGTGTGCATGTGTGTGTATTTATATTTACATGTATACACAGTATACAGTACACACACACATATATTATGTAAACACAAACTTTTATTTTGGATGTGATTAATCAAGATGAATCTATTTGACAGCCCTACACATAATATTTAAATTAACTGGTTATATAAGTCAGCAATTGTTAAGGATCAGATTATGTAATTCAAAAACTGTATTTTCACTTTTTACAATGTTTATAGTGTAAATAGTTTAACTAATGCAGTATATGTATTACTGAATAATACTCAAATAATCAATACTGGCAGGGAAATATATGCTCTCTTATGTTCTCCTAGGCTGCATTTATTTGATCAAAAATTCAATTAAACATTCATATTGTAAAGTATTACAATTTAAAATAACTTATATATATATATATATATATACATATTTATAATTTTATATTTTTTCAGTGTAATTTAATTCTGTGATGGTAAAGCTGAATTTTCAATAGCCCTTACTCCAGTCACAAGATCTTTCAGAGATCATTCTAATATGCTGATTTGGTGCTCAAGATACATTTATTATTATTATCACAGTTGAAAATGTGCCGCTTAATATTAATGTTTTAATATTGTTGTGGAAACATTTTGTTTTGAGGATTCTTTGAAGTTCAAAAGAGCAGCATTTATTTGAAATAGATAGAATCTTTTGTAAATAAATAGAATCTTATGTAAAATTATAAATGTCTTTAATATCAATTCTGACCAATTAATATTTAGTTAATTAATCTTTTGAAATAAATGACTCCTGGAAAACAAAAGAAAATCTGACCAAGTAGAATGAGGACCTGAATCAATATAGTGGTACCAAAATAATGCACTGACGTTAGTGGAAAAAAAAAAAAAACTGAAAAGAAGACAGGAGACTGACCTAGATTATTCTCCCCCTATTGCTGGCGGTAACCTAACCTCCCTCTACTCCTTTTGCTGGTAAATGACTCAGTCACATTTCATTTGCGTGCTTATAGTGTGGCGGTTGTTCTTCCCTTGTATGGATTGGTGATCGCACAATCAAATAAAGTGATATTTTTGTAGCGCAAAATTAAATATTTGCTTCTAAAGTGCATAAATGACTTTACAGCTTGCTAAGGCTCAGTGTAAATTAAAAAAAGCTGTGACTGGTTGACCTTTCATAATAAAATTCCCATGGGTGCAACCAGATCTACGTCAGTGGATGCTGCAAGGAACCATACCATTATGCTGAAATTCTGGGTTTCTCATTGTGCCCTGGATTCTGTTGGCAGGTGGAGGGACAACAGCTTTGTGATGATGGCTGGTCTGATGTTTTTGCAATGGCTGGGGTTGTCTTGGATTGGCGGAGTAGTCTGCCGCCTCCTCCTCAGAGCAGGCATCTTCACGCATGGGAAGTGGATCTACAGTGGTCAGGCCAGCGGCTGGCGAGGAATGTGGCAAGCTTCCACTCTCAGCCTTTGCAATACAATAGAGTTTAAAATCTGAAGACATATTGTATGACATAATATTGCACATTAGATCTAAGAATCATGTACCTTACTGTGTGGCCGGTGTGGAGAGCCGTCTATGATATGTTTGTAAGGAGAGTGAGGTTTTCCTAAAGGTGGCTCACTCCTCCTTACTCTCCTGGAGGAATGTTTGATCTTCGGAGGAGAGACCAGCAAAGCTCCTCCTATTGAAAATTATAAATAATATTAAAATAAAAAAAATCATGTTATAATAAATACTATACATTTGATATAATTCATGATATGATAGCAAGCTTTTTCTAATAAACAAGAGGCTTGAAGTCAGTTGTTCTGACTGCAAACCCTTCAATCATAGTGAAACTGTTGTGAGATGCCAGAAGTATAGGTTCAAGGTGACAGACGGATGTACCATCCACCCAGAAAACCACAGCTGTCTGTAAATCCAATTTAAACAAAAAAAAATGTTCATAGGCCGATGAGACCTGAACTTTTGAAAGTGATGTCTAATAGGTTTGATACCAGTGGCTGGAGTGGTCCGATCATGATGTGTTCTTTGTACAGTCTGCATGGTACTGAGTTTGGGAGTTGGCAATCTGCCCCTGTTAATGGAACCTCCAGACCCGTTTTCCAACACTTGCAACCTAGAAAAGATATGCAAAATGTTGAAATGGAAAACTGTCACAGCATGGGCAGAAACATTTTTGCACAAAAAGAGTCATCTTTGTTACATTATGCCTGGATATGGTAGTACTGATATTTGAGGTTCCAAGCATGCTGGACTTTCAATAATTCCAATTCCAATAATATTCTTGAATTTAAAATAAATGACATGCATTTACAGTATATACAATATTTAAATATCTGTTTTAATAATACATTTTATTTTTGTATGAATTGTCCTTACACATTATTTTTTTTAAATATATGAGGGTAAAAATAGACTACACATAATTAAGGGTGTCCCCGACTAAGGATTTACATAGTCGAAATCGGAATTTTCGAATCTTGCCGATATTCGACTCATAGTGAAGAACCACAAAAGATTGATAGTACAGAATCATATGTATAGAATCATATGTTTTGGGGGCAGGGCAAAATACATTATCAAGAGTCAGGTCAGACATTCGACAGTCATAATTACGTTAACACACAGGAAAAATGTGTAACGGATGCCTCGCAGATAAAAACGGGGTAAATAATGTTTTATCTTTTGATTAAAAGATAGTTAACATTAAACGTCAGCGAAACCCTAAGAATTCAAAACATTTTTTACAATAGTGCTCTCATTATAACGTTATGTGTATATTTATTAATGTTCTGCATTTCTGTTTTGAGCTGCGCAAGCTGAAGATGATCAGTAGAATGAAGCAGCAGGTTTTTAATCAATGGGATTTAACTCATCATTTATCTCATATAGAATACGCTTCGTTATTTATACAACATAACGTTAATATTACGACTTATAGGCTATCTGCACAAAATGCCCCGAAAGCACATGAACGTGTCTGCGCGGCTCTGAATGAACTGCTTTTGTGGAGTTATTTTGTCCTTTTGTGGTTCTTCATGAAAAAACGTGCAGAAACACAGCAACTAAACTCTAAAAAGTCACAGCGTTTTATTATAATAGTGTTCTCATTATAATTGTTATGTATATGAGAGTCCCAGTCATATTAATATTCTGCATTGTTGTTTGTCCTGCTCGCACTGCGCGCTGAAGAGATAATCACCGTAGAACTACAATGAAGCGCTTTACTGCAGCGCAACTCAACCAAATGCATCTTATATGAGATAAATAATATATACACGATATATAAACCGGCTGAAATGTTTTGAAATCACTTGTACCCTACCTGATCTAAAAAATCCAGTCTTTCCCTCTGCCTGTGTCAGTTTGAGTCTTGTTAAAAGTTTTAAATCCCTGCCGCCAAGATGCTCCTCTGTTGGTCACGGATTATGGAAAGTGAAACTTAAATCTATAAGGGTGGTTGGATTTATTCACGCACGTTAAAAGTATTTATTTGAAGCTTCTTTCTTTTCAGATTCTTATTTACAGCATTATTTTAATAGGCTGTATATTAACTTATTGGGAGAAAACCAGTAGTTCTATGTGAGATCAGACATATAGCCAAAATGGCATGATAATAACACCCCGCGAATATTCGAATATTGGTAGTCGAATCAGGCTCCTCCTATCGAAGCATCGAATCTTCGACTATTCGGGGTCACTGTAAAGGACTGCCAATTTGTTCAACCGAATATATGAAGTCTGCATTGCATTGCGTTGCATTGACCCTTTTGTACGGAGCAGCTAAAGGACTTTTATTTTGAAATGAACTTAACGCAAATCGGACTGTATTAATCGCGACCCATTTCCGCCCATTTGGGTATGTGTGTGTGTGCACACTTTGTGAAGGACGCAGCCTGCAGTTTGTGGCGTGTTTCTCTTTCTTTTATTGTACTTGTGCATCTCACTGAAAAGGGTAATAAGGTAAATGATTTTGTACATTGTATGATGCGTAATGTAATGTTCGGTTTCGTATTTGGTCTATGTATTGTTTGTTTTTGTTTTGTCTGTTCGTAGTTCTTACGGTGTCTACTTGAATGTCAACGGATTAAACATTTACGGAAACATCAGTTAAGGAGCATTGACCATCATTTCAGTGGGGTAGCAACAGTCACCCCTAGACATAATGAGTCAAAATTAATAATGTAATTGTTTATATTTGTGTGACTATGTTCATTTCTTTGAATTGTAATTAACAAGCTTCCTATTCAAATTTCAATCTCAAATTCCAACGAATAGAACAGAAGCCAATTCTTCAATTCTGACTTTTGCCCAACACTGAGACCATCATGTTGGTTCTACTGTTGGCAGGTTCTCTCTTCTCAAAAACAACTGAGGTCACATTTCAGAGGAGCAAAGAGGCACGTACCTTTCATTTCTCTCCTTCATGTCCCCATGCTCATCTTTTGGATTCCCCTCATTTTTTTCAACTTTTAGCTCGTCCTGTGAAATCTCCGACTCATCCCTCTCTCCAAGTCCCTCTTCTTCATCCCAGGCCAACTTCCTCTGCACAGGGAGGGTGGGGTCTTCATGAAGACCAACCTCTTCAGAAGAGCTTCTGCTGGCTGCCACAGAAGCAGAAGGCCCAGGGCTAGAGCTTCCCCTGACACTGCCAGCCCTAAAGAGACAAGTTCTGGATTTGCTGTAAACTTTGAACTGAATTGGACAAATTTTGATGTTCAAGCTCTGCTCACCTGGCCAGGTCCAGAGCCTCGATGATAGGGCTGCTACTAGTACTTCTGCAGGCCTCAGTTTCAATGGAGGATGAGGTGCCACTAGAAGGCTCCCACTTCCAGTTGTGTTCTGACAGGATCTGATTCAGGTGCTGCCGAGAAAAATGAGTTCCCCAGGCCCTTTTCCTGTAGGCCTCAGCCTTCTCACGTAGCTCCTGAACCTGAGGAAAAACAGTAGAGTTGTGAATAATAAATAAGAGCCTGGGAAAAAATAGGACTAGACTGCAGATAATATGTTAGGCAGGAAGATTCATAATTTATTGGAAGCATGGACAAAACACTTTTCAGGGCTCAACAATAAGGATTAAGGATGCCTCACTGACCCATTGAAATTTTGGGCCAGTTGACGGAATGGTTTAAAAATCATGTTTTAGTTAGATAAAAAAATTATAATTTAAAAAAATTATATAAAATATACATTTTCACTTCCTTTGTAAAGAAACATAAAATGCAAAATGATGTTGTTAAAAATGATTTAATATACATTTTTGTGGTGGTCAAATTTATTGTTGAGCTCTGATATTGTCCTTATACATGCTTAATATAAATTTGTTATTGAATCAGCTAAATTCACATTATGCAACATTGTCACATCCGCACCCGTGGAGAATTAGTGTAAATGTGAAGGCAGTCATGCTCCGCTCCTAAAGAGCTGACTCAGAAAAACACTCCTGTCCCATACGGTGCATCTTGAATGAAAGTTTTGCTGGAGATGCATCAAAGCACACTTGACACCATAACCTAAAATTAAGTACTTGTGTCTTACAAAAGTTACTTTGTTCTTACAGGGTCAGCATGTAAAAAAAACTGCTTTGAAGGCTCTAGACTATAAGGTTTACAGTCTAACCAACAAATATTAAGCACGTACACATTAAAATAAAGAGCTGAGCACTGAATTTATTGTCATGACAGATGCTGACCATGTAAAATCAAAGAAATCAGATCAAATTATTTATAAGCCACATGAAGGTTGCAGTGTGACACTTATACAAATTGGGGAAAAAGTGATGAGAGCTAACTAAAACCTTAAATAACAGCTAATTAATCAGTTATGTAATACTACAAATATGAATCTTAGAAGAATTAATTAATTAATAAAAAATACATAAATAAATAACCTCTGCTAAATGAATAAATGTCAAATTAGGTGTGTTTTTTTTTTACTTTTAATTCTACGCTCTACCTAAAACATTTATCTGTGCTTGTATATAATCAGTGAGTGAGCCAAAAGTCAATACAGGATTACCAGATAGCCGAAAGCAAAAAAAACAACAACAAAACCACAGACAACTTCAAAGTTCCATGTATGCTGACAGATAACATCTTGCCAACTGATCCACCACATGCACACAGATCGAACACACACAGACACTTCTTCAAGAATAGGTCCACATGAGATGATACCATATACGTAGTCTAACTTTGATTGATGTCATACAGAACATTTTGTGTGGCAGCACAGAACAGACACACACATAAGCAAATGAAGGTCTCTTTTAAGACAGCAGCAGCAGTGAGAGGATGGATGCAACAGGCGGAACGGTTACCTCATGATACCACTCGTGAAAACCTTCACACCCCTGCAAGATTAATAATACAGACCAGTAATTAGAGAGACTGCCTTTCTGTTTCCTAACAGCTCTTCCACTTTTTTAACGCACCACAGCTCAAGCTTTCGTGTAATGTGGTGTCAGAATTGTTTTTGAATTAAGCGTTCATTATCTATGGTCTTTCATTATTTGCTATCTTTTAAGTCATCCCTTGTTTATATTAATTGAATGTTATTTAACTGAAGGTCTAAAAATACGTAAATGATAAAATATAAAAAAAATACTTTATCTTTGAAATATATTGGACATTCACCCCATCTCCAGTCTTGTTAAATGCAGTACATGTCATTTGTTAATTTACATTTTCAGGTGAAATATTCCTTTGATTCAGTACTTGATATTCATTCATTCATGATATTCATTGACATTTTTTTTTTTTTTTTTACTTTTTCAAATGTATTTTTATGCCATATCAGAATCAAAGGCTATTGCATGGGAAGATCAAAACAGTTTTAAATAAAACAAATAAAAGAGGTTAAATTCATTCATGTATATTATTTGTATTTTTACTGGAGTAATGGATATTCGTTAAATTCATTATTTTATTATACAATTCTTTTTTTATTTAATTTTTGTTTTTACATTTACCATTTTTTTATGGCCAATTAGAATAAAATGCTATTTTCTGTGGACTTTTCCCATAGTTTGTTTTTCTCCAGAAACTCACCTCTTCCTTTGCAGTTTTGATCTTCACCCATGCTCCATCTCCGTTACTATACTGGAGGGGAGAACGAAAGTTGGATTTGTACTCAGTTTTCATTTTCCTGTCAGGCAAACAAAGAGGGACACGGTAAATACTTCTGTGGAATTTGTGAAAAAATCTATTTAACATAATTTGAAGAATGTATAATGTAACCTGTTGTTTATCATATGGACGTCAAAATATATATGTGGTGCTTATGTGCTGCTAATGCAAAATGTGTCAAACAGGCCTTTTGAGTTTTGTTTCTGGTTTTTTTTTTTTCCTAGTCCTGCACAAAAAATACTAGTCACCTCATAACTGTGGGTGAAGGGTCTCTCAGGGCACAGGGTGACCTCACTTCCTGTTGCTGTCGATGGGTGACTTCCTCTTTGGGGGAATGTATAATGTAACCTGTTGTTTATCATATGGACGTCAAAATATATAGGTGGTGCTTATGTGCTGCTAATGCAAAATGTGTGAAACAGGCCTTTTGAGTTTTGTTTCTGTTTTTTTTTTTTCCTAGTCCTGCACAAAAAATACTAGTCACCTCATAACTGTGGGTGAAGGGTCTCTCAGGGCACAGGGTGACCTCACTTCCTGTTGCTGTCGATGGGTGACTTCCTCTTTGGGGCTTGACTTCCTGCTCTGTTGTCGCTCCTTCTTCTTCTTCTTGTTCCCCTTACTCTGGCATGATGGGCATTTAGGCAAAAGCACATGACAAACCACGTCAAAGGTGCAAACATTTTCGAAAATGTATACTTCCTTACTGTGCAATGAGGACTATGCATATAGAATGTGTAAAAAAATTACGAGGAACTAACAGGTTAGTGAAACTGGTTTATCCAGCTCCATAGTTATGCAGTGATATTTGGAAAGTCTGTGTCCATTGACATATATGACAAAGCTGAATGTAGATATTTCTGTGTACCTTCTCTGGGGTTGTGTTCTCTGCATCAAGCTGTGGGACCTCGTATTGTTCAACATCTCGCCTCATGCGTGGTGGTCTGGAAGGAGGTGATACTTTGAAACTTCTCTTGTACTCACTCTCCATAATCACTGGGTTTGATTTGAAGGTGGCTCTGTTGTTACTGTACAACATCTAAAACAGATATGAAATAATCCAAAACACAAAAAATGAACCTGATGAAGGCATTCTGATAACAAGATACTACTGAGAAAGATAGTATTGTTGCTCTCTGTAATTATCATTAGTTTAATCAAATAAAAAAATTTTCAATAAGCAATTCAAATAAAATTATATATATATATATATATCAAGTAATCATGCATCCACTGACATGAAAATCTCTATACTACCATCTAGTGGATAAGGATTTTTTTTATTGGCATTCAATTACACTAATATTTTAGTACTAATTTCTATCAATATAAGGAACGCATCATGTGACAAAAAGCGCTGTGTCCAATATGTCAGATAATCTGGCCAGGAGATATAATAAAGGACTGGATGCAAGCCAATGTGTCATGTTAAAAATGATTTTGAATTATGACAATGCTCATAAAAATGCAAAAAAGTACCTCATGAGCAGCTAGCAGGGGCGAATCAGCCACAGGCATTTTCCACATAAACTGCCTCTGGTACTCAGAGCTCAAACGGCCATTCCTCTGTCGCTCCGATCTCAGTCCCGCTCTTTTCCCTAGGCCATGGTTAATCTAATAGAAAACACAAGCTCAGAATAACTGTAACTGCAGTAATGATGGTATTAATAACTAAAAATACAATTCTAATTGTTATACACTAATTACGGAGTTATGAATGATTTATATGATTTTTTATTACGTAAAATTAATTGTGGTATAGAAGCCTTATATTTTGTGATAAGGTATCAGAGAAACGGTGAGGAAAAACTCCAAAACAGTCGGTAAAACCTCAGGGGGGAAAACATGCTCGTCCACATACTCTGGTCAGATATTCTGTTTATTGAAAGGACTACATATGAACAGAACTACAAATGGGCCTCCTTAAATGTGTTGCCATTTGGCGTTATTGTTATTTAAAGTTATTTTCCACACTCATTTATAACCAGACTCACTCCATTCTGTTGCTGCTGGTCTGCAGCAGGGCTGGATGTCTGAGCTGCTTGCTCCTCTGCCTGTAGTTGTTGGGATGGTGCAGCGGTGCCCTCTGGTGGCACGGGGTCTCTTGGGGCAAGAGGGGTCGCTACTCTTTCTGCACTAGAGGCTCTGAGTCTGAGCACAGGTGTGACAGCTGGAGGAGTGACAGGCCTGCTCTTCTCCTGACACTGTAGATATAGATCATGCCTTTCCCATCGGAAAGAACTGGATATCTGAGGTGGATAAAATGGCACTTTCCTTTTCGATATGAATTGGGGTTCCCGAGTAATTCCTTTAAATGCAAGAAGAAAGATCAATCAATTCAATTTTAATTTATTGTGTGATAATCTTTTTAATTTTAGTAAGACACATCTATCAACACATCTAGCTATCTATCTGACTATCTATCATCTGCCAATATCGATCAATCATCTGATATTATCTATCTATCTATCTATCTGTAGTCTGACAATAAAGATCAATCGTCAGACAATATCTATCTATCTATCTATCTATCTGTAGTCTGACAATAAAGATCAATCGTCAGACAATATCTATCTATCTATCTATCTATCTGTAGTCTGACAATAAAGATCAATCGTCAGACAATATCTATCTATCTATCTATCTATCTATCTATCTATCTATCTATCTATCTATCCATCCAGTACATACTTGACTGGTCAGAGCGCAGTCCTGCCAGTCGCATCCTGCGATGTGGAGAATCGCTTCTGGATCGTGTTGTTCGACCCTTGTATTTACTTAGATACTCGCTGATTCCCTATTAGAATTAAAGCATACAGAAAACAAGTACACTTTATAGCATAAGTAAAGCACACTTTACATTTAGTATGTTATACAATCTGCACATTCAAATGAGAGGTCTGGGAAATGATATATCTTCGATTTATTAGAAAAGCCCTGCTTAATAACTAGCTCTTAAGTGACAATTGGATAATCTTGATGCCTTTTAATCCGCGTACAAACTTCTTCAAGACATAACAGGAAGTAACATTACCATAGACTGTATAAAAACAGAACGTTACCGACGGTAACTTGTAAAGGGTTTACCGTTTAAGACGCTTCTTAATAAAATCACATAGTTTCTATTTGTTTTCAGCAAAGCGTAAACTATATATTACACGGGTTCGTATTAATGTATATTTAGTTACTAAATGTAAACACCTGAAATAAATCTCAAAACTGAAAGCATTTCTGCAGCCTGCAGCGCGCGCTCTCTTTTCCTCAAACTAGTGACGTCGCACGAGCTCGTGCACCTTCAATCTGGTCTAACTGACCATGTTATAAACAGTTTCCAGTGGATGATAATTTAATTAATTTACCTTAAACCGCACAGGCATTCTGAGCCAGTGGTGACTAGTGCACAGACAGGTCCGTGGACAAAAGAAGTGTTTTTGTCTCACGCTTAGTGGAGTAAGATTAGACTCGGTTACATGCTTTGCCGTTACCTTGGTGAGGCTGCAGCGTCCCAGGATACGCGCATGCGCACTGCTGTAAGCCGATTTGTTATGACGCTTTACTGCACTGTGTGTGTGTGTGTGTGTGTGTGTGTGTGTGTGTGTGTGTCTACTTGACCATATTTTGGGGACAAATTTTTCACCCAAAAGTGAGTAAAACCTGACAAAAATTACATCCTCATTTGTAAAACTGGTATAAAAATAAAGTAGGCTAAACAAAGTTTTTTTGAAATTGTAAAAATGCAGAAGGTTTTCTGTGAGGGTTAGGGGTGGGTTTAGGTTAAAGGGGTCATATGATGCTGCTAAAAATAACATTATTTTGTGTATTTGGTGTAATGAAATGTGTTTAAGGTAAAAAAAAAAAAACATTATTTTCCACATACTGTACATTATTGTTTCTCCTCTATGCCCCGCCTTTCTGTTAGTAGTAGTACAAAATGTATTATGATACTCTCATTGGTCAGATTTGATTTTCTTTGCGGAACAATTTAAATAAATTAAATTGGGGGAAACATTTTTTCTCACAAATAAAAGAAGTATCATTTCAACTTAAAATGTATACAAAAAGAGCTGACATTGCTATATAGCTTACATAACATGCTCTTTTTGTTTAAATTCTACAGAAACAAATTTAGGTAATGTCATTACTCTCAGATTGTTTTAAGTGATATTGTTGCCTTTGTCAGATGTAGCATTCAGTTCATCTGGCAGTTATTATATTTGGGTATTTTGCTTCAGATTCCACAAAAGATTGTTTTCCTATGTTGATTTTACATTTATGAATGCAGATTTTCAAACTGTAAACCTAACGTCTCTGTCATCTGGAAATAAATTGAAAATTACTTAAATATGAAGAAGAAAGCCATGTTCCTCTGCTTTTGGGTTCTCAATGTAAAATTGTTCTGTATTACGTCAGTTTGTAGTCAGTGTATTTTCTGCAATAAAAGTGTAATTAATGCTGCATTTAGTCTACTAATTTATTACAGTTATTATTTATTATTACATCTGTTGTTTGTTTGTTGTTTGCTTGTAGCTGATACTGATTATTGTTGTTTAAACAGCAGATGGTAGTAAAGCATCCCGTCATTAACACAAATACATTATAATTTCGCCATCACTACTACTTAAATGTGTAGTTTGACTAGCTAGTAACTTTAAATTACAAGCAGCATAATGAATGGCTAAATGTCATCAATGTCTAAGCCTGGCATTACTTAAATTTAGGTCATCCAACCATTAAAATTCGAGGCTGCTACGCCATTCATCACTTTTACAAATAATGTTCAGTACAAGGATGGCAGCAGCACCTTTCCGCGAGAATCTGCGGGTCTCTCAGAATTGGGGACGTGGCAAGACGTGCAATAAACTCGAGCAATGCATCAAAAGATTTTGAAGCCTCGGCGCTGATTGGCTTTCAGATTTACTGTAGCCAATCAAAAGAGAGTGCGGTGAGTCGCGCGTTTTTAAACAACGGTTTCCATTACATCCGGGGTTCGTTGTGCTGAAGTGGCCCAATGGCAGTGGATGGACTCCACTGTTTGGGCTGTGATTGGATCGCTGCGTTACCCCAGCCTGAAAAACGGTGTGGCACAGGGGTGTGCAGAGTAAACCAAAGACGCGGTATTATATCTGGGATTCTCGGCCTCGTATTAAATCTAGGTATGTTTGTATTTTATACACGGTTTGATACTCTTTTGCATGTTTGGTCTTTAGTAATGTGATTGACCACTGCATTGACTGACCGTGTACGTTACGTTGTAATGCCGACTCACTTAAAGGGACAGTTAGTATTGAACGTGAAAGGGATAGGTTACCAAAATAATACAATTTTGTCATCATTTGCTCACCCTAATGTTGATATAAATGTCTATGGCTTCCTTTCATCTGTGGGAAATAAAAAAGGTTAGAAGACTGACAGCCCCAGTCACCATTCACTTTCATTGCGTCTTATTCCATACACTAAAAGTGAATGGTGTGCATCACATCTTAAATGTGTTGTAAGGAAACTTTTTTTTGTGTGCCTGTGTTTGTGCTGCTCAGATTATTATATAGTCTTAAATTTTTGGTTAACCACTAGTAAAGAGCTATTGTGTACTTTGAAAGGCAAGAACATCTTATTGCCAGGTAAATCCTAATCAATCTGTTTATAAAGTTGTCATATGTGATTTATTTCTGGTGTGAATGATCTCTAATTGAGTCTAAAATTACATGATTATGTTTTTGTGCTAATTTTGTTGGTGGGTCTTGGGCACTTATCATTTTCACCTTTTTTTATTTCCCATTTTATTTTTTCCCGTTCTCTGGAAACACATTTTTGTTCATGTCGACGGTGTTTCCTGTCAGAAATTCTGCCTGATATTTTGCCAGTGTGGGTTGTTCTTTTCCCCCTGTTACACACATTTACACTGCCCTTTAAAGGTTTAGGGTTAGTCATTTTTTCCACCAAGGAATTCATATTTTTATTCAGCAAGGACTTATTAAATTGGCCAAAAGTGACAGTAAAGACATTTATAATGTTGCAGGAGGTTTCAATTTCATATAACAGCTTTTTCTTTGTATTCAGCATCAGCAGTGAATTCTGGTTTCCACAAAACAATTGAGCAGCACAGCTGTTTCCATTCATGGCAATAATACGAAATATTTATTGAGCAGCAAATCAGCATATTAGAATAATTTCTGAAGGATCACGTGACACTGAATACTAAAGTAATGGCTGCTGGAAATTCAACTTTGACATTACATGAATAAATGACATTGTAAATATATTAGCTTAGAAAACAGTTATATTGAATTATTGCAATAATATTTCACAATATTACTGTTTTACTGTATGTTTGATCCAATAAATCCAGCCTTGGTGAACATAAGAGACTAACTTTTGAACGGTAGTGCACGTTACACTTCTTAGTCAAACATACAGTGTTTACATTCACTGATTCAAACAGACCCTGTCAACACATAAAATTTTGTTTGCACATTGGATTATTTAAACATCGCCACATTAGAAATACCTGTGATCAGTATTTATTTTAGTTTAAAAGGGATTTGGGATATATATATGTTAATATTTGTGCTCTCTTTCACCAGAGCTTATGTGATGAAGATGGAGATTAGGCCTCTGTTGATGTGCTTTGCTCTGTGCGTGGTCTATGCCACCAGCAAACCCACAGAGAAGAAGGACCGTGTCCTCCATGATGCACCACTGAGCAGCAAGGAGCATGACGACGGCACAAACTTTGACTATGACCATGATGCCTTCCTTGGGGAAGAGGAAGCCAAGACGTTTGATGACCTGACCCCAGAGGAAAGCAAGAATAGGCTTGGGTAAGGATTGTGCCGAGTGTTAAGGGGAAGTTAGTAGTGATTCGCAGCAACAAGATGACCGGAAGTCATTCATTTTCATTGAGAGTTGGTCGTTTCAATATAAAATAAATGATTAAGAGAAAACACACTCTTATAGTTAATTTATATCCGTATGTGATTGCTCTTTTTGTGCTGCCTTTCAGTAAAATTGTGGATAAGATCGATGCAGACGAGGATGGCTTCGTCACAGAGGCAGAGCTGAAAGCATGGATCAAAAAGGCTCAGAAGAAGTACATCTATGACAATGTGGAAAGACAGTGGAAGGATTTTGACATGAATAATGATGGCATGATCTCCTGGGACGAATACAAGAATGTCACTTATGGCACCTACCTTGGTAAAAATGCAGTCTGTTTTTATAAACAAGGTTAAAGAATTGGTCACACACAAAATTAATTTCTGTCAACATTTACGCACACTCATGTCATTCCAAACCTGTATGAATTTCCTTCTGCTGTGGAGCACGAAATAATAATTATATATCTATTTTATATATCTATAAAAACACAGATAGAACAAATGATTATTAAAACACTTATTGTAATTCTGCTTGGATATGCTAGTGATGTAAAAACTACACAATTCACCTTTAAATGTTTTAAGGGGTACACACAAAAATGACAATTCTGTCATTATTTACTGACCCTCATGTTGTTCCATATCTGCTTGACTTTCTATATATATAATGAAAGTCAATTGGGCCAGTGAGTTTCATTTTATGAACAAAAACACTTGCATTTTTCTTCAAAATATGTTCCATAGAAGAAAGAAAGTCAAGCAGATATGGAACAACATGAGGGTATGTAAATAATGACAGAATTGTCATTTTTATGTGTACCCCTTATTAAAAGATTTAAAGGTGAATTGTGTAGTTTTTACATCACTCGCATATCCAAGCAGAATTACAATAAGTGTTTTAATAATCATTTGTTCTATCTGTGTTTTTATAGATGATCTTGAATCTGATGATGGCTACAACTACAAGCAGATGATGGCTAGAGATGAACGGCGCTTCAAAATGGCTGATGGAAATGGAGACCACATCGCTGACAAAGAGGAGTTCACTGCTTTCCTCCATCCTGAGGAGTATGAGCATATGAAGGACATTGTTGTGTTGGTGGGTCTGTTATTATTGGCAAGTCGGTTCTATACTAGGTTAAAGTTAATGTGAAGCCTGTTTGTATCCCATTTAACTTCTGTAAACTCATTTCTAACCTGAAGTCTTTTGTGCTCACCAAGGCTGCATTTATTTGATCAAAAATAATACAGTAAAATCAGTAATATTCTGAAATTCTCTCTACTCTTTTATATTTTAACATATTTTATAATGTAATTTATTCCTGTGATGGTAAAGCTGAATTTCCATCAGCCATTACTCCAGTCTTCAGTGTCACATGATCCTTCAGAAATCATTCTAATATGCTGATGTGGTGCTCAAGTAACATTTCTTATCATCAATATTGAAAACAGTTGTGCTCCATAAAATGTGGAAATCGTGATACATTTTTTTTTTCTTCATG